TAAAATATCTCCATATTCTGCCAACATTTCATTCCGAACTCAGATAATTTCAAGACACCTACAAAGTCTTTAAGGGAATTTCATTTTCGTGAGAAAGTGCCTGTCAGAGAGATTTATTGGTCAGTCTAGGCAGAAAAAAACTATCAGCAGAGCTTTAATTGGTTCTTTCTTACTCAGACGTACACACGTCTGAGTGTGTATATATATACATACAAACACACACACACGTAAGCATATAAATACGTTAAATGACATGACAACTAAGTCATTATATATCTCCTTTATTAAGTACTAAGAGTAACTGAGTTTCGATGAATCTTCTGAGATAACAATGTTGGGGCAGACTTTCATTTCGTAACAAAGTCGTTTTCACCAGAAGACGAAGGCTGAATCCAGTTGACTGCAAGCGTTTGGCTTTAATACGACCTAGTGGATAAAATCGTGCATACAACTGTCCTTGAACAGAGGTGCGCCGCAAAGGCGTATTAAATACAGGAATTATTATTCTTAATATGGATTTGGAAGTTGGACGGCTTAGGAAAAACAAAAGTCGACTAATGACTGTTAGGCATATTTGGCTGGAATGGGTGATTTTAAAGACTATGTCCTTCTATGGTAAGCAATAATCTATTTTTCGTATATAAGCAGAGTTTCGAGACTATCAAGAAATCAGTTATATGAAATGTATTCAGCCTATTCTTGACTGGAAATGGAAGTAAGCAAAGGTATGAAGACTAAGATGGTGTGGCCTTTTGTGTGGTCGCAGTCTCCTTTCGTTGTATAGTAGTTGTTTGACCTTGTTTTCGCAACTTGGTCATGTTGGTAGGAAGACTTAGAGCAACGCACCTTTACCGAAGTCCATTGTATGCATCCTCACACATTTTCAGACGTTTAGCCATTCTTAGCACCACACAATAACTCGTCAAAGAGACAAATGAAGCCGATCCTTTGAGTAAACGTGTGCTAAACAGTTTTGGTATCTCCCCTTCTTCTACCGGAAACGCGAACGACCCAGAACAGAAGAGGAGATACCAAAATTGTTTAGCACACGTTTGGTCAAAGAATCGGCTTCCTTTG